CCCCCCAAACAATGAATTCACACTCACACTCACAAACGCAATATTTTTCTTAAAATTATTTAAATGATGCATCCCTACAGATAACAGTGGCATAGGAAAAAACAAATAAATTGAAGTTTGGTGGAAAATTATTATCATTTTCATTTCCGAGATCATAGGCATTAGACTACATTTGTATTTAAGTTTAGACGTAGTTTTTATTGCAGATTTTAACATTTCAAAATATGTTCGTTGGGTTTTTATTTTTTCCTTTTCATTTTGATTATTGTTGTTATTTTTGTGACAGGTTTAATTCATTGATTGGGTTTTAATTCGTTTTTGTTTAGGAAGGAGGGAAAGGGGGTTGTTTGGTTGGGTATTTTCAGCTTTTTCGATGAAAAGTCGTCATACCGACGAGTTAACGCCGGCGAGAAATGGAGAAAAAAAAAGATCAACTCATCCGAAGTTCAGCTTATCTGGTGGGCCCACAAAACCAAGGGATTTAACTTTTTCCCCTTTATTAAAAACCCCTTTGACCTTTATCCCCAGCTCATAATTGTAATTAATTTAGTAGGCTACTGTGGTGACCAGTTATTTATTATTTTTGTGTTTCACGGCGCTCGCAACTGCATAGAATGTCATATGAGCGCGCGGGGCACATTAATTAAACTTTTTCATTTGGTAGAAAATTTTGAATGTTGCCCGGGTGTCAGCCGAAGCCTACTTTCGATTTTAGACCACCAAGGGATCTTTAGTGTGCGCAACTTGCGTACGGGCCCTCCGAGATTTTTCGCCCTTGTCCGAGAAGTCTAGACGTAGACCTTTCCTACCAGAAGAACAGGGGGGGGGGGGTGGCTGAAAGATAGCAGTAACAAGGAGCCAGGGAGTAGCTGTAGAAGCGCTGCAGAAAGAGTCAGAAGCCCAGAGGAGAGGGCAAAGGAGGTGAGGGGGTGGGGACAGAAAGAGGAGACGAAAGCAGATGACAGAACATTGCTAAAGAGCAGGAAAGGAGGTGAAAGTGAAAGGAGACAATTTTAGACAAAAAAATTTCGGTCGCTACCCGGATTCGAACCCGGGACCTTTGAATGAGAGACCAACACCTCAACCTCTAGGCCACGAGAGCCCCCTGGTAACCAGTTAGGAACAAAACATTTCATCGAGCGTAGAATGAAACGGTTCGGACATTTTAACCAGAATACTCCAGAGACAACCAGCAGCAAACATCCGTGAATCTGGCTTCAAATCAAGAGGAAGACCAAAAAAGGCCTGGCTAGACGGGGTTATAAAAGTCCTGGAACAACTTAACCACATGCTATTAATCACTCACAGACGCCGCACACTTAGCATAGGACTGAAACCTGTGTCTCTCCTCGACATCAAAAGTATAGTCTACCAGAGGAAGGAAAAAGTTAAAAAGTAAACTGCGATAAAAATGATGACAGTGACAGGAAAAGTTTTCAAGCAATACATACAGTGGAGCTCGGATTCAACAAATAAGTCGTCGGGTCTGACCTTCAATTTCTTTGAATCAGAGTGTTCGTTATAGTTATAGGCCAATACAATTTACTAAATGTACACATGTAGCCTAAGCAAACATGAAGTTTTTGTGCAGATAATTATAGGCACTGAGCAAGAAATGCATGGTCTAATATAATGTACCGGTGCATGTATTCCACTTCCTCAATCAAAAACCGTTTGGTGTCAAATAAAAGTCATTTCGATTTTGTTTTTTTGATGCCCCCCCCCCCAAAAAAAAAAAAAAAATTTAAAAAAAATTAAATTGGAGATTTCTAGGAAAATTCACTGACCTCTACCAAGCACACACTGTGCAAAAGGGCTGTTTGCTTCAAACGCACGCCTGTGTTGCTGTGTGTGTAAACCCTAGCATGGCAACGTTTGATTCCACAGACCAGCAAACAATTCATTATGTAGATCTATGTTAAGACTAGCTTATCATTGTGTAATGATAGATATTGATCAGTAGCCTGGGGGGGGGGGGGGGGGGGGGGACCGACTGTGATGCGTTTGTATCTCTACTGACACGTGACGCTCCACCAAAGCCTGGACCGCGTGCACATGCCGACAACGTTTGTGATTGGTATGAGAGAAGGCCGCTGGTTGGTGGCATAAGATATATTAATATAATATAAACAATAGGCGAAAAGGTTCTAGATGCATACGAAGTCGAAGCCACGTCAGCAGAGCTGTTACCCTGCAAGCGACTTCGTCGAATCCAAGTTTGCGCATTTATGTGTTCGTTGAATCCGAAGGATGTCGGTGGCCTAGTGGTTAGGCTCTCGGACTCGCAACCGTAAGGTCGTGGGTTCGAATCCCGTCAAGGGCGGCCCGACGTTGTGTCCTTGGTGTGGGCTTACTACACGGGTGTGTCAGCCCACAAGGAATCTAGGTCAGTAGCGCGCAGGTGGCCTGATTATATGACCGTCTAGGTACCCGGCTATAGACAGCGAAAGATCTTGTCAGTTTGTTAGTGTTTGAGCGCTTAAATCGGCTGCTCACACTGTATGCTTCCCGGGAAGCTGAGAATGTTTCGGAGTGTTCTATGGTCTGCTGGGGTAATAATATAGTGTAAAGCGCATAGAGCCTGCTGCTGAGCGGGGATATGCGTTATACAAATGCTATCTATTATTATTATTATTGAAGGAGAAAGAGGCAAAGAGAAAGTAGACAGACAGACAGAGAGAGAGAGAGAGAGAGAGAGAGAGAGAGAGAGAGAGAGAGAGAGAGAGAGAGAGAGAGAGAGAGAGACTAGAGGGGGGGAGGCGAAAGGAGAGAGAGAGAGAAAAAGAGGGGACAGGGAGAGAGAGACAGAGGGCAGGGAGAGACACAAACACACACACACAGAGAGAGAGAGAGAGAGAGAAAGAGAGAGAGAGAGAGAGAGAGAGAGAGAGAGAGAGAGAGAGAGAGAGAGA